TGCAGTACACAAGCCACGGTTAAGACAGCTGACTCCACTTTGATGTGACCCTGTCTCTCTCTCTCTCTCTCTCTCTCTCTCTCTCTCTCGCACACACACAATGTGCAAAACTCCACATTTGAACAGTCAATAGCAAATACTTAAACTAATAACAAACCAGTCGCTGATTCAGAAGCGCCAGATTGTCATAGCAAAGTCATTATTACCTCCTCTCCTAGGTTCAAGAAACAGTCATACATAAAATGCATTGCTGTTCTGTTGTTAGTAATCTTAACGATTCCTAAATACAGTACATTTTCTGACAAACATTATTCAAAGGGAGAAAAAAATCATCACACATCTTGGGACAAAGCAGGTGATACTGGAGGTAGCCACAAGTAAACACACCCAGACAGTAATGTAGAGAACTAAACTTAAAATGCCTCCAGTCTATAGTTATATTATTTTGCACTCATCATTAACAATGTGAGTCATAAAGTGAATATTATACAGTGTTCAAAGAAGAGGAAAAAAAGGTCAGTGCAAAAAACACCTCAGGTTAAGATCCCCTGATATACAAATTAAACAATAAAATCGACTTGTTCTGTTGCCCGAGTCACCTAATCTGAAGTCTCATATCTGCATTATTACAATTCCATAATTATTTATTCACTTTCATAAAACCTATATGCATACACAGAAATATAAAGAATATTCACCTTTTCTTGAAGCACATTTATGGTGCTTTTTGTCTAAATATATGCAATGGTTCTTTGCACTCATCATTAACAATGTGAGTCATAAAGTGAATATTATACAGTGTTCAAAGAAGAGGAAAAAAAAGGTCAGTGCAAAAAACACCTCAGGTTAAGAACCCCTAATATACAAATTAAACAATAAAATCGACTTGTTCTGTTGCCCGAGTCACCTAATCTGAAGTCTCATATCTGCACCTAGGTCATTCATCCAGTATATCTCTCATAAGAAAGTAATGAAATTATACTTGCAATATTTGGTCATAAACTATCATGTATATAAAGCATGCTACTATCTGTAAAGCTTCTACAACTTTATAAGAGTAAAGCATACTTTGTTTCATGTAGTTCACGAAAAACAAACAGAAATTTCACAATGCTTAAGTAAAAAGCTTTATAATAAAACAGGTTGAAACACTTCAGTAGCCGAATCTAGCAGATCCAAAGATATTATGCCCCCCGACCTGACAAGACAGCAAGAAGCACATTTAGCCGGTTTTGTGTTTCAGCAAGGCACTGGCCATCTAGAAAACAGAAGTAATGTATATGTATATGCCAAAACATTAAATTCACCATATTCTCATAGTAACATAATGGATATGACTTCTAGATCTGTATAGAGGTATGGAAAAAATCATCCTGAAGAAGAACTATGCTGTGAGTAGAAGTGGTTTTAAGTACCCGTATCTGACAAAATACAACTGGCTTGTCAATATTATTAAAGGCCTCTATTATTTGTCTGGCTGTTTGACTCAGATCGAGTGAGTTTTCCGGTGTACCACATTATACCTCACGATCCACAGAAATCAAAACCTGTAAAATACTGATATTTAGACAGTTTACCAAAACCAAAAATGCCTGATGACTGTAATTCCTGAAAAACTGCAGATTGATTTCCCTGCACTTAAAGGGATAGTTCACCCAAAAATTAAAAGCCTGTCATCACTTACTCACCCTTGTGTCATTCCAAACCTGCATGACTGTCTTTCTTCTGTGGAACATACAAGATGATATTTTGATGAATGTTTACAACAGTTTTAGTTGAATTTGACTTCCATTATATGGACAAAAAATACAATGGAAGTCAATGGGAACCAAAATGTTTTGGTTATCAACATTTTTCAAAATATCATCTTTTGTGTTCCACAACATTAGGGTAAGTAAATGATGACAGACATTTCATTTTAGTTCACCAAATAATTACAATTCCATAATTATTTATTCACTTTCATAAAACCTATATGCATACACAGAAATATAAAGAATATTCACCTTTTCTTGAAGCACATTTATGGTGCTTTTTGTCTAAATATATGCAATGGTTCTTTAAAATGATGCACAAGACTGTTCAGGTCGGAGAATTTGTGGCCGCAGTCTTTGCAGATGGAGGAAGATGGCTGTGGTTTTGGTTTGTACTTGATGCAAGTGATCAGTTGAGCTAGTTTGGATAAGGTATCTGACATGGGTCTAGCCCTAGTGGGGATCTGGTCACATTTTGCTCCATTCCAACATTGTACAGAATCCATATTCCTACATGAAAATAGAAAAATATAAAGCAAATTAATGATGTGGTGATGTGGATTCTATTGCTATACAGAAATGTGTGTATACACACACACACATACATATATATATATATATATATATATATATATATATATATATATATATATATATATATATATTGCATTATCTCCCATTCAGTCTAGCCAACTAAATATTTGTGTTATGTTTTCTGGAAATACAAGCTCTTTAATAGCAATGCAAGAACTGTTAAACATAAAATAATATTATAATAAGATATTATACTAAAATAAATAAAAATAAGTAACAAATTAATATTGCTATATAATGAAGACACCTAGATAAAGTGCAAGCAGCATTACTGTAGCACTGACACAGGAAGAGTTTGCTAGCCGTCTTGCTACGCTTCTGGCTTGCCTCTGACATACAAACATACCCGCCCGAAAACTTTGTATCACACAAAATGGGTTTCTCTCCCATCTATGTGGACATTACAGCAGGTGTTTTTAGGTTCATGAACGCAAAACGCGCGAAATGTTGAGGTCAGACGCACACGGACTTTCACTTCAACTCCCATGCGCTTCTACTAACCTTAACTTAAGGCAGTTTAAAGAACTACAATTCCCATCATCCCCCACGCGTCTATGGTTTATTCACATAAAATTCAATTAAACCCATATGAACACGCAAGGCTGATTTATTATCAGTTGATTACCTTAACTTAAGGCAGTTTAAAGAACTACAATTCCCATCATCCCCCACGCGTCTATGGTTTATTCACATGAGCTACTACCTGCATTAGTACATAAAGAAACGTGAGTATAAAATTCAATTAAACCCATATGAACACGCAAGGCTGATTTATTATCAGTTGATTTGGAAAGACCGTTTTTCAATTTATCAATAAAACACTGTTGTTGTTAACTACAACTAAAAACGATGTTTTTGTTAATCGATATAAAGCTGAAATAAAATCAAATCTAAAATGTTAGATACAAATCCTAACTACTAAAGCTGAAATAAACAATAAATGACGAAAACACTAAAACGTAAACTAAAAATCCCCCACGCGTCTATGGTTTATTCACATGAGCTACTACCTGCATTAGTACATAAAGAAACGTGAGTATAAAATTCAATTAAACCCATATGAACACGCAAGGCTGATTTATTATCAGTTGATTAAAAAAATGGCCTTGGAAAGACCGTTTTTCAATTTATCAATAAAACACTGTTGTTGTTAACTACAACTAAAAACGATGTTTTTGTTAATCGATATAAAGCTGAAATAAAATCAAATCTAAAATGTTAGATACAAATCCTAACTACTAAAGCTGAAATAAACAATAAATGACGAAAACACTAAAACGTAAACTAAAACATACAACACACACAATATATATATATAGCATTTAATGATATTTTAAATTCCATCTTTTTATGATAGATTCATAATGCGAGCGCAAGTAGAAGACTTTTATTATGAAATGGGCTCAAGCGGCACCACATCTTCCCCTAGTGAGGTGGAGTGAAATGACACCCCTCTTATTGGGATTATTAATATATGTACATTGTTGTCATTGGTTTTTATTCACCCATATCATTTACTACCACGATTCAAATAAAACGCGCCAGTTTAGAGATGAAATCATAATATTTGTGCTTCCTATGTGACATCGTGACCTCCTCCGGTCCTGTTGGCGGCAGCGGCACCCGTCCGCACGGTGCCACATCAGAACAGTGTGTCCCGCTCACCGGCGGATTATGAAGGCTTCACCGGTTTAACCTCAATCGGTTTTAGAGGAATCGCAGGGGAAAGGGCTATTGTTTCAGTAGATGATTATGTAGAAGTCATGATACTTGCACCGCAAAGACTGAACTCACAGCGGGGGTCTGATCGCTGAAAAACAGCCGACTCATTTATTCACAGATGACAGCGAGCGCTTGTTTATTACTGTGCTGATCGTGTCGTTCGAGATTAATCGTTATCATTTTACACACGTTGAATAGGCTAAGCTGTAGTTTTGATGGCCGTGTCAGGAGGCGCCCGGCGGATCCCGATGGGTGTGCGGACATTCAGTGAGTTTCTGGAGATAGCGACGGTCGGTCCGTGTCGCTCCAGCAGCCCGTATAAATGCAGAGAGAGAATACAGCACTGGCCCATCAGGTAAAACACCGCAGTTAACCTACCGTTACATATAGATGCTGTTACTGAGTGTTCGATGCATCACATAACATGCGCTGACCAAATACTGGAACAGAGCGAGCTGGAAAATCGTTTAAAAATACCATACTTAAGTTACTTGCTTATTTCAGGAGATACTCGATATAGAATCTAAAATAAAAAGTAATGTAAATGTAAAATAGAATACATTAAATAAGGCAAATTTATACAAAACATATATTTTTACAAATAGTTTTAAGATATAGTCGAGATATAAAATCAAGGAATATCATTTCAAATAGAACACAAAAATATTTCTATAATAAATTAATAGAATTGTATGATTAATTCTGTAATGAACCTTATAAGAATAAACCTCATGATAACAGTTTAGAAATATATAACACGTTTGATTATCAGTTATTCTACGTACATTTAGAAAATGTAGTTTCACAAATACCATATTACAGTTATAATAAAAACACAGCCGCTACTGTCATAATAAAAAAAAGTAAATAAAGTGACAGAAAGATTATGACAGCTTTTTATACTAGTACTAGGATATTTATTAAGATTTTTACAGTAGGAACAACAAGTAAGGAGGATTGTATGGTTGCAATGGTAACTGGTTTTGGAAGATTTTTAAAATAGTTTAATATGACTGTAGATTAATCAACTTAACTTCTGCTAAATTTGGACTAAATTAGACGGACCAAACAAAACCCCATTTTAAACGTCGATTTTTGGGCTAAATTTGGACCAAATCCGACGGATCAAACAAAGAACAATTTTCAATGTCGCTTTTTGGGCTAAAAGAAGTCCATGACGGGCCGACTTGATTTAGCCCAAAAAACGACGTCCAAATGACGTCTGGTGCTGGGTGGGTTAGTGCTGGGCGGTATGACCAAAAATTGATATCACGGTATTTTTCAAAATTATACCGGTTTCACGGTACATGACGGTATTTTTTTTTTCATGCATGACCGGGTGTTAACCATATTTTCTACTGATTGAGAGAGGAAACACTGCAACATATTGACTTAGAATACCCTATTTTACGGTCATGATGAGTGAATATTGTCAAAAAATACCACACTAAATAGTGACTAAACACGACCCCTTTTAATACATGTTAACCAGGAGTCACTCTCTTATAATCGCGGCATCGTCTGATAAAATCAACATGCATCGACACTAAAGAGCGGCTATGCGGTTATTTTGGCTATTTTGGCACACTGCCTGCATCTGAGTAACAAACTAAAAAAAACAAACAAAAAAAAAGTGCATGTGATATTAACAGACGAACTACGCTCATATTTATAATTCCAAACAATCAGTAAGCGACAGGTGCT